AGAAAGAAAAATATGAATTGCTAAAAGACATGATTAAAATGGGAGCCAAAGAATAAAGCAAAAGTGGATAATAGGTGGCTGTCCAGCTGTTATGAACTATAGCTCTCAGAAGCCCTAGGAAGAAGAGTTTGTGGGGAGGGAATGCTGAAAGCTGTAATTCAGCAACATCCAGAGGCCTCCCCCCATGAAACAGAGTGATTAAACCAAGATAAGATTCATAATAATTAGGAAGATGACATTGATTGAGAGAGGAGAGATCCGTTACCAAAGCAACAAGGAGGGAAACATTGCTTAAGCCAAAATGATGAAGGAAGGAACACGACTGACACCCCTCTAATTCACATGAGGGAAGGAAGAGGGAAACCACAGCTACTTCTCAATTTATGACCATTTGTTTAATGATGGTTCAAAGTTATGATGGCCTTGGAAAAAATAGCATATAACCTGTACTCCCACAACTGTTGCACCATGCCTGTGGTCTTCTGATTGCAATTTGCATGCTTGACAACTGGCTCACATTTACAACCAGTTGTAGCATGCTGTGGTCATGTGATCATGACACGCAAACGTTTTTGCTGACTTCCAACAAAAAATGCCTGTTGGGGAAGCTTGATACACTTAACCACAACATGATTCACTTAACAACTGTGATTTGCTTAACAACTGCCATAAAATTGTTGTAAAGTCTGACCTGACTCCAATTATGGCTGCAATGTCTTACGATGGAAATTCCAGTCCCAATTGTTATCATACATTGAAGACTACCTGTCCCACTTGTAAGATTCTGCTATGTTTTTTTCTTCCATTCAGTCATGTCCAATTCTTGGAGACTACTTGGATACATCCCTGCACTGTTACTACACAGGGGTGGGATTCTACCAGTTCGGCCTGGTTCAGGCAAACTGGTAGCTATGAAGATCAGCTGGAGCGAACTGGTTCACTCCGACCTCCAGGTGGGTTTGGCCACCTGACCTGGGCTATACTCACCTATATTTCCCTGTTTTTTAGCCCAGCTGATAGGCACGGCAGAGTGGATTCCCGTAACTCAACTGTATTTCTGTGAACTGCACATGTGTGCGCATCAGGGCACGCATGAGCGAAGCACGCTCAGTGAACCAGTTGTTAAACCAGTAGGATCACACCCCTGTTACTACAGTATAATGAATCTTAATAAAAGTAGTTTTAAACTTAAGGTGGAGTTGATTTCTTGGTCTGATCTGCATCTTGGAGCTGGCACAACCTGAATTATCCAAACTGCTTTAAAATTTATTGAATGAACCAGAGCACTGTCTTCTCCCTTAGTATCTAAAACAGTGGTTCTCAACCAGTAGTGGGTTTCAAAAAATTTTGGAACCTCTTCTGTAGGTGTGGCCTGCTTTCTGGGTTCACTGGTGGAACCTCTTCTAACCGGTTCGGTAGATTTGATGAACCGGTTCTACCANACTAGAATTATTTTGATATACAAGAAATTGTACTTCGATGTCTTACTGATTGAGGAATGATGAAATGTTTGCCTTAAAAGAAATAAACTTTTGAAATCAAATTAGAAATCAGAATAACCAATGGAAAATGAAATGATAAATTTGGTATATTTTTCTGAAAGGGACAAAAATGATATTGTCTATGTGTTAAGAAAAAATTAAATTTAAGATGGAAAAGAAAGAAGAAAATAATGGGGCTGAAATTGGAATGATAATGTGATACAAAACAAATTATGTATAAGAGACAATGTAAAGGGGGGGGGGAGACCCGGACAACACTTAGTTTGTAAAAAGAATTTAAAATTTGTAAAAAGAAAATATTTCCAAAAAAAGTGGAGGGGGGGGGGGAAAGGGTCCATACAAAAAAAAGTTGATGGATTAATTATTTCAGAAACTTTCAAAAATATAAAATTTGTACAAAATCATCAATTTGTTGGACTTCCTCAGGAAAGACTTGTAGAAAGCAACATAAATTTGAAGAAAAGACTAATGGATTGTGAACATTTAAAAACAGGTAGACAATTGCAAGACACAAATAAATTGTGATTTCTCAATTTTTTTGAGCCAGATTAATGGACTATTGAGGAAGTAGCAGTTCCATGGACAGAGCTGAAGAACAATTGCTTAAATTTAGTGACATTTTTAATTATGAAATTAATATCAACAATTATAGAGATTTTGTAGAAAATGTTTTAAAAGATTCCAAGAATTATGCAATTCCTGACAGTATTTAAAAAGCTAAAGATATTGTCAGAACAATTGCTGTAAATTCAGCAGAAGCCGAAAGAGGTTTATAAAAAATGAACATCATATGTTCAGAGCACAGAACTCACCTGTTTCCAACATAACCAACCTGATGACCATTAGTGTAATTGACCTACCTCTAAAAGAATGGGACCCTATTCCTACAGTCAAAAAGTGGTTGAAAGCACATCATCACATAGCTGATGATGCTCAGTAAAGATGAAGAAAAGTGCAAGTGAGGAGGGCGCCAATGATTGATGTGGAAACATCTTAAAGTTAAAGACAAATAACACTTTTATGTAAGTATTTGTGTACCTCTTTTATTGTTTTGTGTACTTCTTTTATTCTTAAGTATTAAGTGCAGAAAATAATAAACTACCTTTTTGTATATCTTGTTTTTGTAGATCATTAGGGCAAAGACGTCAGTGATGTCGACCTGGTCATGCCCACCCAGTCACATGATCACCAAACCACACCCACCCAGTCACATGACCACCAAGCCACGCCCACCCAGTCACATGCCCATCTAAGCCACGCCCACAGAACCAGTAGTAAAAAAAATTGAATCCCACCACTGCTTACGACCACAATTGAGCCCAAAATTTATGCTGTTAAGTAAGACATTTGTTAAATGAGTTTTGCCCCTTTTTACAACCTTTCTTGCCATTGTTCTTAAGTGAATCACTGCAGTTGATATGTTAGTAACAAGACTGTTCAGTGAATCGGGCTTCCCCTTTGCGACCTTCTGACTTTGTCTGAGTCTGCCTCATCCGTTCCCACGATCTAAAAAGAATAAGAGTTGGAAAGGACCTTGGAGGTCTTCTAGTCCAAACCCCCTGCTTAGGCAGGAAACCCTACACAACTTGAGACAAATGATTGTCCAATCTCTTCTTAAAAACTTCCAGTGTTTGAGCATTTACAACTTCTGGAGGCAAGTTGTTTCACTGGTTAATGATTCTGTCAGGAGATTTGAGGGGCTCCTACAAAAATGAGGCGGTCAATCTATTTTCCAAAGCACCAAAAGGCACACCAAGAAACAATGGATGGAAACTAACCAGAGAGAAGCAACCTAGGACTAAGGAGAAATTTCCTAAGGGTGAGATCAATCAACCAATGGAATAGCTTGCCTTCAGAGATTGTGGGTGCTCCATCACTAGAGGCTTTCAAAAAGAGTGAGGGAAGCACACCCCAAAATGACAGTGCCAGGCACCACTAAAACAATGCAGAAAACCTAAAACAGCCATTCCCCCTTTTTAAAAAGTCAACCCCAAAGCAAACACAGCAGCTGAGAGTGAAACTAAGAGCAGCTGCTCAAGCTAATTGAAAGTCTGGTTGTGCCAAAGTCATTAACCCTTCCAACTCTATTATTCTATTTTTTCTATGTTCTAAATTGGGTGCTTCACAGCAGAAGCAACACAGCTGGCTTGACCACACATGCACTAAATTCATGGCCTGTATGATCAAGCTGCATCATTGTCCCCTCCTGTATCTTTTCCCCCAGGAAGAAACAAGAAGTAGCCAACACTGCAGCAGCTATAAAAGGTCTTGGGAAACTCCAGGGNGTCTTCTTCCCCACTTGGAGCTGAACCCAGAAGGACATTTCTTTCAACATGTCTATGTGACTTTTAATATAGAAGTAAAGGCGTTTTAAGAGGCTGTCCAGCCTGACCCAGTAGGTTTCACACTTAATGTCCAAATCTCACTTTACGGCTTCTTTATTTTAGTAATAATTCTACAATGTGTTCTATTGGTCTCTAGCTGTCCCTATTCCTAAGCCTTGGCTAATGAATGCCCCAGGAGTTATCTAATATGCATTTCATTTGCTGCAGGCCATCTCTATTCCTAACTTTTAGCTGAGGTCTGCAAGTTGCCTAACTCTGTTACTTTTATCAGCTTTCTAACTACCCAGAATTGTTACAAGCTTTACACATGCATATTTCCTGTGGATAAGCATTCTTTGTTCTTGCCAGAGACTCCACAATTACAGTCTCCCTGATTTACTTTCAAGTGTGTGCCACGACCTGGCTTTATTTTAGCAGACAGCCCATCAATATGAAATTTGTAAAACGTTAAATTTCAAATTCAGATTCTTTCCTAGTTGTTTTCATTTCCGTTAGCCAACAGCTTTGGTTCCCACAACCTGCTCAGGCTAACCCAAATTACCCCCTAACAAGGTTTAATCCCTCATGGGGATGAAGGCAAGATGTCACGTCGTTCCTTGGTTGCGTCCAGCCCACAAAGCCAGCTAGTATTTTATCTCCAAACCATCAAAGCATGGTTTAAGACTCAATCTGGGATGATGCCTTTAACAAGCCATGATTAACCACAACAACAAAACTAGGGCTAAGCCCTGCCTACAAGATCAATTCTCATCTCGGCTAGGAGGGCCATCCGGGAGTGGGGATGATGCGCTTTGTCGTCTCCAAAGGCACCAACAACAGCTCACTTCCCACTCCCTTCGCGAAATAGTGCGCGAGCCCAGCAGGCCCAGCCCTTTTTCCAGGGGCGCGCGCGCTCCTCCTCCGCTTAAAAAAAGGGAAGGCGACACCTCCCCTCCTGCTTTCTAACGGTCGGTTGACACAAAGAAGGGGAGCCGCGCATGCTCCTAAAGGTAGGTCCTCCTCCTCCTCCTTATTTGGCCACGCCTCCCCTTTCGTGGAGAGAGAAAAAGCAGGGAGGGGCAGGGAAAGGAGGGATGTTAAAAAAACCAAACCTCAACCCAGCATTTCCCGTCGTGCTTTGCGGGGCCCTTGGCACTGACGTGGCCGAGCCGCCATCTTGTGGGCAGTGAGGGAGGCGGAAGGCGAAGGGCAGAATCAGGCGAGGCTTCCGGCTGGCCTGGAGAGAACGACGACGGAGTTTCCGCAGCGAGGCACCCTGCGACGTCGCTCGGTAAGCAGCCCGATCCCTCACGAACTCGGCGGCCCGGCTTGGTCTGACAGGACTCTTCCTTCGACAACGGCGTTGAGGCTACCGGGCCTAACTCAGGCCCGGGAGGGGCAGAGTCTCCCGGCTGAGCTGTGAGTCTCTCCTCTCCTTTTACCTCCCCTCCCCCCCCCCCGAGGTGACTGTAGTCAGGGCGAGAAGACTCCCCTGCGCGGGATCCTTGTAGGCCTCAGGCCTGGGCACCTTTGCCCCCGCCGGGTGTGTGTGTGTGTGTGACTCCACCCCCGGTCATGGCGCTTGGGCCTGGCTGAGTAGCGTCCATGACACGGCGAAGCGGAATGTGACAACTCATCGCAGCCAACCTATCACGGACAACTAATTTTTGTCATCCACATTTCATTCTGTCCCTCCTTTTGGATCCTTTATAATTCTATTCCACCATTTTTTTTTATATTCATGTAACTTGTCCCGCAGCGAGTTGGCTGTGGTGAAGTGTCATAGACCCGGGGAGAAGGCAGAGTGGCCCCCGGTGATGGATGATGGGGTTTGAGGGAGAGTGATGGGCTTTTTCCTTTCCTCGGCTGGAATTTGGCCCCAAAGACGCAGGATGGGTGGGGATTTAGGGCTTAAGCACTTGCTGTTGACGTCATCGGCAGGACAAATAGTTGCGCAAGGGCCGTGAGTTTCAAGTGTGTTGTGAAGATTCCCTTCCTCTTTATTAGCCGGAGCTGAGGAAATCAGACTCTAAAGGTCTGGGTTGACAGGCCAGGACAAGAGTCTTAATCCATTTGGCCAGGGTGATGTAAGGATGCCTTGGGCAGGGGGTTGGTCTAGATGACTTCCAAGGTCCCTTCCAGCCCTAGTATTTGGGAGGGAGGATCAAATATTAAGCCATGTCAGAATCACCATTAGCCAAACTTAGTTTATTGTACAACGTCTTAGCTAGGTCTTTGTCTTCCTTAAGCTTGTTAGACCAACTGAGCCATGAAATGAGAGAGGAAGAGGGGAAGGAACAAAGGAGAAAGAAGGGAAGGAACAGGAAAGAGAAAGAGTCAGGGTATGACACTGCAATGATGTGAATGAGTCAGCAAGGTTTTTAGCTGTTATCCCTTTAAGAGCCTGTGTAATATGTTTTTCCCTGCTGTAATTGCTGATTGACCTCTACGTTTATGTATAGTACACTTTTGTAGATAAAACCATTATTTTATTACAAACCTCTGTTTGCTGTTATTGCTCTTGTGTTGTCTCATAGTAAAGCTGTGCACTCTGACAGCAAGTGAGGGAAAGGAGTGGAAGTTGGTCAGTGGGAGATGCAACCTAGAAATGAGGAATTCCCTGACAGGACTATGAAGCAGTGGAACAGCTTCCCTCCCGGAATTGTGGGTGTTCCATCTATGGAGATTTTCAAAGAGAAGATTGAACAATCATTTGGCATAGGTGGTATAAAGTCTCCTGCCTTGAGCAGAGGCTTGAACTAGATGACCTCCAAAATCCCTTGCAGGCTTATGATGCTTCTCAAAGCTGTTTTCATGGCTATTTTCAGGGCTGTGAACTGGATCTTTAGCTTTGCCACATAGGCAACTACAGTACAGTATGATTCTGGGCATCAAAGCCATCTCAGGACAATGTAATTTACTTCCAAAATTCTTTTTTCCTGAAATACCAGGAAATATCAGGCTGGATTGATACTGCTAGCAGTCTCTGCTGATCGGCCAGATGCACCCCACTGGAGAAGGTCCTCTTAAGTCTTGAATTGTTTTTTTAGAATGGTAGCTAAATAGATGGTTTTCAGTCAGTGTACCTGCCTGTATTATACTGCTACCATACATGTAGTCCTGGACTTGCAACAGTTCATTTAGTGACCAAAGTTACGAGGGCACTGTAAAAAATGACATGACTGTTTTTCACACTACCATTGCAGCATCGCTATGGTCATGTGATCAAAATTAGAACACTTGGCAACTGGCCTTTATGATGGTTGCAGTGTCCTGCTGTCACATGATCCCCTTTTGCAACCTCCTGCAGAGCCAAGTCAATGGGGAAGACATTCACTTTACAACCATGTTAATAGCTTAACTACAGTGATTCAGTTAAACTGACAAGAAAGGTCATAAAACAGGGCAAAACTCTCAGCAACAGAAATTTGGAGTTCAGTTGTCCTAAGTGGAGAGCTAGCTGTAATACATTCAGGGTATGCCATTTGGCACCTTGCAGATAATTTGGACTACATCTGCAAATTTCAACTACAATCAAAATAGTTGAGCTTCCTCCCCCCCCCCCCTTCCCCAACCATTTTCTAATTTGCTTCCCTATTGGTTGCTTTAGATGCATCTTAGAGGCATCTCTCTGAAATGTGCCCATGATTACAGATAGCATATAGTCTGGCTTGAATTGCTTGGTCTGATATGTTTGGGGATTTAGTGTGTAATTGTCTGGAACAGNAGGTCCCTTCCAACTCTGTTATTCTATTCTATTCTTACTTACATATACATAGTAATAATAATATATTGTATAGCAGTATACCTAATAATATTTACCAATTTCTAACTTCTACGTCTATTCTCTAGCCACTAATAAACAAGTTGCATATCAAAAGGTATTTTGTATCTAACCATCTCTTGCCCTTTTTAATATTTCAACGCTTGTTGATTTGACAAATCTCGCATGCCTTGGGACCTTATATCTCCTTACATCACTCATATTTAATCTAAGTATTTCATCTGCCTCTACGTCTACCTCTTGCTTTCCAGTCTCTAAAATACCTGCCACTTCTGGGAGATTTCCCTCTTTCTCCTCTTCTATATTTTGACCTCTTAAATAGTAAATTACCTTTTCTGTTTCAAGAGGTTATTACTATTTCTCCCAGATCTTTATCTGTTTGTGTCAGTTGTTGATTTGCCTCTTCTATTCTTTCCTCCACTCCTTGTAATTTCTCCTCTATTTTCTGGATTTTTTGTTCATTTTCTGTTGTCATTTGCTGATGATTTCCTAATCTCATATCTATCTCATGCATCTGTTTCTTCATGTCCCTATGGTTCTTTATCATAGTTTCCTGAATATATTGAAACATCAATTTTATTTCTTTTTGAAATGTATTTGTTTTTGCCTGTTGTAACATCTTGCTTTGATTTAATGGGCTGAAAGTTGCTCAATAATCCACCAAAATCCCAATGTCCCAATTGTCCAGAACACCAAAAAGCCAAAAAGAGAAGAGTTTGCTCAATCCTGGAACTGTTTTTCAGCTATATTTATATTCCTGACAATTTACTTCCTCTAAATTGTCCACATTTGTAGATCTTGTTTAACATTTCTTCTTTTGCTTCGTAGGATGTTCTATCAAACAGTATTTATAATCCAGAGCTGCCCATCAAATTCTCCCATTTCATTAGTCCACCCATGTCAATCATTCAGACACAAGAGCAGTTCAAAGCAAATCCAAAAAAGACCATGTTGTTTACCATCCACACTACTTTGAAAGTCTTCAAAAGGCTCACCATTTACTCCCAAACTGCCAGAAAGCAAATCTTATAGCTACTGTCTTTATTTTGTTCACCAGTAGATATCCTCCCTGCTCTTTCTCTTTACACTTGTACTAAGTTCTATTTAAAATAATCCATTGTTCCAGGTGTTATTTGTCTTTCTTCACTTTGTTTCCCTTTTTTTATCGATCCTGGCTTCTTTTCAAGGTCTTTTTCAACTATGTAGTTGAAAAAACTTGTAAAGTGTTGCCAGTAGTGGTGTAATGTCTTTTTTCACCAGTAGGTGTCATCCCAGCTCTAGTTTCCAGTATTGAAAGGAAGCAAATGATATACCAGCTGATTGTCAAATAGTCAAAAAGGTCATTTTTCTTTATAACATTTCTTCCAGTAGTCAAAAAATATTATCTGCATGTTTAAATCACTTTTCACAATACTATAAATTCCAGTCCAGTCTTTCTTATAGTTTAAAACTTAATAGTCTACAATTACAGTTCCATTTCTCTTTTGGGTCTGTAATCTATCTCCTCATATTAACTCACCGCTTTCTCTATGCTTTGAAGAATCTTTCCTTCAGTAATTCTTTTATTTAGGGATAGGTCTCTACAATAGAAGTTGAAAGTCATCTCACCCAGTTCCAATACTCCATTCATGAACAGCTCAGTAGTGCTTCTTTCTTCAGTTGCCCCTGCTTCAGTCCAGCCATAATGGCCATCTCTCTTCTTCGTTGGTCGGGAGGGTGCCTTGGATTGAGCAGGAGAGCCGCCGCTCTCCCATGATCAGCAAGGGGTCTGTCAAGCATGCCTCCTTCAATATCCAAGAAAGGAAAACCTCAACTCCATTTTAATAGAGATAAAGTACTTTTACTAGATATGAAGTGAAAACAACTAAAAGGAAAGCAAGATCTGAGCCAGAAAGGCAGGAACATATGCATATCAAACAGTGGTGGGTTTCAAAAATTGTTCGAACCTACTCTGTGGGTGTGACCTCCTTTGTGGGAGTAGCTTGCTGCCCATGTGA